AATGATTGGTGCTTATCTAGACAGTTATGGTGGGGTCATCAGGCACCTATGTACTTTGCTCAAATCGAAGGTGATGAGAATGATGAGAGTAACGGTGATCGGTGGTTCGCCGGTAGAACAGAAGAAGAAGCAGAGGCTAAGGCAAAGAAGGCTCTTCCAGGTAAGACTTTCAAGCTCAAGAGAGATGAAGATGTCCTGGACACCTGGTTCTCGTCTGGTCTCTGGCCTTTTGCCACCATGGGATGGCCAAAGAAAACGAGTGACTTTGAGAAACTATACCCAACATCAGTACTCGAAACTGGCTGGGATATTTTGTTCTTCTGGGTTGCTCGAATGATCATGTTTGGTATCAAAATGACTGGTAAAGTACCATTTACAGAGGTATACTGTCATTCTTTGGTCCGCGACTCTGATGGTAGAAAGATGTCGAAGTCTTTGGGCAACGTCATTGATCCTCAAGATGTGATTCAGGGTATCGCACTTGAAGACTTACATGCCAAACTTTTGGTTGGTAATCTTGCCCCAGCTGAAGTTGAAAAGGCAAAGAAGTATCAGAAAACCGCTTTCCCTGACGGCATACCCGAATGTGGTACTGATGCTTTGCGTTTTGCATTGGTTTCCTACACAACAGGTGGTGGAGACATTGCATTCGACATTAAGGTCATTCATGGTTATCGAAAGTTTTGCAACAAGATCTACCAAGCGACAAAATACGTGGTTGGTAAATTGCCTGCAGATTTTGTTCCAAATAAGACTGCAAAACTTACTGGCAAGGAGTCTTTGTCTGAACGCTGGATCTTACACAAGATGACAATGGCTGCGAAAGAAATCAATCAAACCCTTGAAGATCGTGAGTTCATGCGTTCAACGACCGCGGTCTATCAATATTGGTATAACCAGCTGTGCGATGTGTACATTGAGAACTCAAAGGCCATTCTCCAAGACGGCACTGATGAGGAGAAGAGATCTGCTACTGATACTCTATATACTGCTCTTGAAGGTGCTTTGACCATGATTCATCCTTACATGCCTTTCTTGACCGAAGAGCTCTGGCAACGTCTTCCTAGACGTCCAGAAGATAAGACTCCATCTATTGTACTTGCAAAATACCCAGTATATGAGGCAGAGTTAGACGACCCAGCTTCTGAAGCAGCTTACGAACTTGTCATGGCTGTATCCAGGGGTATTCGATCATTGATGTCCGAATACTCGCTTAAAGATGAAGGAAAGGGTAAGTCATCAGCAGCAGCTTATCGTACATGAATTTATGCTAACTAGTTCCAGTGTTTGTCCAAGCATATGATACTACCTCCCACTCCACCATCACATCTCAAGTCCAATCTATCAAGTCTTTGTCTGGTAAGGGTGTATCATCCTTGGAAGTACTCTCCTCAACCGATGCCCGCCCAGCTGGATGTGTAGTATTTTCCGTCTCCTCCGCTGCTGCTGTCTTCTTACACGTCAAGGGTCGTGTAGACATTGATGGTGAGATTGAAAAGGCAACCAAGAAGCTAGAGAAGACTCGCACAGGTGTCGAGAAACAGAGAAAACTTCTTGATGACCCCGCTTATCAAGAGAAAGTCAGCAAGGAGCTGCAAGAGATAGAGAGAAAGAAGCTGGGAGATCTTGAGACTGAACAGCGTGGATTTGAGGAGACTATCAAGCAATTTGAGACTCTGAAGTTAGAGTAGAGCATATGCATATCTTTGTAGACTTTTAAATAGTAAAACATCCAAGAAATACCAAAAGTTTCCCAATTGATCTCGAGCTTAGAACTTTGACTGTACGTTTATCTTCTTCTGGTATAACACATATCAATACAGGGTCCAGGAGTTATATTTAATTTCTCGTTTGGTAGGATATCGAAGAAATCGATGACTCAAAAAGTTTCATTCGGATGACTGTTTCTTGTATTCTAGAGGTTTCATTTCATTAAGGCACGACTTTCTTTGCTATCAGATACATAAGTTTGGATCATCCGTTAGACACAATCCTTGAAAGACCTCATTTAGAGAGGAATCCCGGCTACACTGCCGACGTACAAGTGGCTGAAAAGCAGTCAAAAGAAGAAAAAAAGGATGGCGAATGGATATTTATTTTCCTACGCATAATGAATAGACAGAAGCAACAGGGAATAATACCAGACTCAGTACCAACCAAGCGTTACGTACACTATCTAGAAGCTGCTTCATCTTGCAATTTCTCGTCAAAATATTTGGGACAAATTTATTGTACGCGCCTTTAAGAATTTGAAGTCTTTTTCGAGTTGATTTGCCTGGATCGTGGTGAACCATCATCATACGTATGCGTATTACAATATCTTGATTCTTGTTCAGACAAAATAGATGAGAGTAAACTTCCTTTACGGGTAAAGGCTTGATTCGATTACGGACAAAAATCAGAATTACGATTGTTTGGTCTGGGATATATTTTATCTTAATCCGCAGCTTGATGGTGAATATGTCGCTTAAATACAGGTACATCTCCTGATATGAATTATTTCCGCTTTCTTCACTTACTTTAAATATTATATTCCTTGGACTGTATTCTTTGAGCTTTGGTTGTATCGTGGATAAGTCCCTTGAGTAGTGAAGCAAAAGTAACCTTGGAGGAAGCATATTGAGAAATGAGTTATAGAACACCCCATAGCTCTGCAAAGACAAAATAGCAAGGAAACGCCGATTGAGTTGGAACGAGACATCCAATCCAGAGATAGTACTGGAGGGGATCTAGTTACATAAACATTCAGTATTCATCAGGGTCAATCTTTCTGCCATTCATCTTTAAAGTAATAAAATATGGCAAGAACTATGGGAATTGAACTTTCGCTTTCCCCTACAACTGCAACCTTTTGCCACGACAGCACCATTAACAACAGCTTATTGCCCAGTGATCATTAAGAAAAGAAAACTTCTACTCCTCATTTCTTCCGTCCAGATGGCTTCCACAGCTCACAAAGAAACTCCAGAAATTTCGAAATATGTTGTATGGCCCCCCATCATCAAGCATGTTGTCCCACTAGGGTATTTATACGATGGTAAGTTGAAGTAGCTAATTTCATAAAAACTAACGATCTAACAATATACAAGAGAGCGGAAATTCCTATCCCAGAATGGGAGGAAGATCGAGTGCATTGCCAAACGGACATGTGCTATTTCAATTCAACAATACATTCTGCCACAATGCAGCCGGTCAATTCTTAGGGAAAACGGATTCTACACTGTCCTTTCTCACCAATCCCACAAACCCGGTCATGTCGAGATACTTGGCGCCGCCAGGATCAATTAATGTTGACATCACCGAGAGACAAATCCCAAGCTTGTTTAAGCGCTTCGAGGATGAACTTGACAAGAAAAACGATAATAAGGTGTTCTGGGCTACTGGTGGAATTGCATGGTACCTTATTACTGGTGCTGCAGCATATGGATGGACATTCTTCGAATACAGAGGTATCAGAAAGGATGGATCGACCTTTCTTGTAGCAGTTGGTATAGCCTCTGTAGAGGTTAATTACCGGACCAACCCAACAACTATTGTAGCGAAGCGCGAGATGGCTGGCTGGAGCGAGCGCATCTTATTTTATGTAAGTCTACTAATTCTCTTAATACGAAACATTACTTAAAAACGATAGCCTAGTGAGCCTCGACTTGGAACTTTCTCTGTCCTCTCCGATGGGAAATATTTATACGCCTACGGACACAAAGGCGGCGATCACAATGGAGATTATGACGTGGTGGTAGGTCGTGTACCTCTAGAGTTGGCAAATGCAAGAGCTTGTTGGGAGTACTGGGGAGGTGGAAGAGGCTGGGTCAAAAATCACTTCTTCTCCTGGACAGTTCTCAAGAATTATCAACATGGTCAAATATTCGACACAAAGCTGTTCGGAGAGGCTTCACCATACAGATTTGGCTTTGTTGGTTGCACTCGTACAGGAGATAGTAAGTTAATGTTCGGAAGAGCTATTAATCCTTGGGGCCCATTCGAAATTGTCGAACTGATGAAGGCATACCCTTTGGGCCATATACAAAAGTTTGCATACACTGCCCATATGTTTGCTCACCCCTGGGCATTTTCTGAGAGCAAGGGGGATCTAATGGTCACTTGGAGTGAAGGAGGATCAGCAGGAAATATAGTCGCAGTAAAGATCCGCTTTGAACAGGGCATTGGTCGCTTACAACCGAAGGAGCTGGGAGTTGTCCAACGCATCGAGGAAGAATCAGACAATAACAATATTGCTCTATCGGAGCTGCAACTTCACGATGAGTTGTATAGCTTTGAACGGTACGAGAAAGACGGCGAGCAAAAAGCTGTTATTGCCACACCCGAGAAGAAGAATGTATTTGAGAAGGCTGCTGCGGCATTTGGTAAACTATGTAATTAGAGTGCTGTCTAGGAGCAATTGCACACGAGACGAGAAGGATGAACGGAGATTAGTTGAACAGTTTTGACACAGTATTTGCAATCTTAGCATTCGAGGATAGTTATTGGAATTACTGCAGGATATGCCATAGTACTTTGATGGGGACTGCTCAGCATAGACTTGAACATATCTGCTATCTTTATTATTACGAAGAGTCCATCCAATGCATCATCTGATCCAAGTGCAGTCACTGTTGTGTATAGTAAAGAAGGGTAATGTAAGCGAATAGACTGGCAGCATAAAGAATATCCATCAAGCTTTGAAAAGATTCGAAGGATACAATAATATTATGCTAGACAATAAATTATATCATCATCTATCAGCACCGAGTGAAGCTCCTATATAATCCAACAGACACTGAATAATCTGTACCCACAGTGCTACATGGTGACCATGAGGCTAATAATCTTGTGATGTGTATTAAGTTTAGAGTGAAGTGAAGTGAAGTGAAGTTCGATTTGAAATCCACATTTCGATTCGAGAAGGCAGGCGAAACTACGATTAGTCAGCTAGCTACCAAGCTACAAAAAAGCGCGCTAACGCTAAGAAGCTCGGGCCGTTCCTAGATATCAGGAACTTTCAACATTATCAAGCGCGCCTCATTTTGAACTCAGACAAATTGCTATCGACGCATACTCCCCATTGTGCATTCTGCTACTTTCCATACAACAAGAGATTATTATCGAAGCTGAAGAGAGATATTTTTCCTCTCCATCAATTGCCACACTCAGATTCAACAAACAAACCTTCACAAACTTGATTCGTATCTAGAGCTATACTCCGTCGGAACCAAATCTCACATCTCCAAAATGGCCAACTACCTCGCCTCCATCTTCGGTACTGAAGCCGACAAGGTCAATTGCTCCTTCTACTACAAGATTGGCGCCTGTCGCCACGGTGACCGTTGTTCCCGCAAGCACGTCAAGCCTTCCTACTCGCAGACCATCCTCCTCCCCAACCTCTACCAGAATCCCGCCTACGACCCCAAAAACAAGATGAATGCGTCGCAGTTACAGAACCACTTCGATGCCTTCTACGAGGACTTCTGGTGCGAGATGTGCAAGTTTGGCGAGATTGAAGAGGTCGTCGTGTGTGATAATAATAATGATCGTATGTCTTCTCATTGATTTTCATCTTCCCCTTCCCTCTCCACCCGTCTCCAAAAGACACAACTTCCAAATAGACAAACAGAGACTAACATCTTCCCTACAGATCTCATCGGAAACGTATACGCGCGCTTCAAATACGAAGACTCTGCGCAAAAAGCCTGCGACGCACTGAATTCCCGCTGGTATGCCGCTCGCCCAATCTACTGCGAGCTCTCCCCCGTCACCGATTTTCGCGAAGCATGCTGTCGGCTCAACAGCGGCGAAGGATGCGTGCGTGGCGGATTTTGCAATTTCATCCATCGCAAGAATCCGAGCGATGAGTTGGATCGCGAGTTGGAGTTGAGTACGAAGAAGTGGTTGAGGATGAGGGGGAGAGATGAGAGGAGCGTGACAAGGAGTCCTAGTCCCGAGCCCACGAGGAAGAGATATGCGTGAGGTGGAGATGGAGATGGATCATTGTGAAATGGTCATCTGGGGCGATACTGTAGGATGATGGGCGCATTGAGAGCTGGGGCGAAGACAGTTGAGGGATGCTCTTTGGGAGGAGACGATTATGCTGATAGATACTTCTCAAAACACGCAACGCACGAATCTTCGGCATCTCCTACCACTATTTCGTTTTTACTTTGACGCTCTACAGACAAAACGAGGCGCACATTCTGTCATGTTTTCAGTGCACAGTGGATATACACCATTTTTCGACCGCAAATCTTAACGATGGAGAAACTAATCGGTGGAACCATCCGTGGAAAATTCGACATCATATGCAGAGCGTAGCATCTTTAGTACGAGGCATTGAGGATCTTACGAAGTTGTATTCATACAAGGCGTTTCATGGTCATTTATTCGTTTCAATAACCTGGGGAATATTCAAGCAAAAAGCGAAGCAAAGCACAGCAAAGCAGCATGAGGCTGCTCACGTATAATAGCCACATTAAAAATTTGACAAAAGCGCAAATAAAAAGATATCAAAAGCACATGCACATATTCACGTGGAGTTAAAAGTCAAAACAGGTAGAATAGAAGAAGTTGTGTATATTTCATTACTTAAACATCCATGCAGCTAGTTCATTCCATTGCATGATTGTTTCATCAATCCATTCTCCCATCCAGCAATCTCATCGCAGACTGTCAAAAATCCCAACATATATAACAAAGGTACAGGTTGACCCCCGCCCGTCCAATCTAGTAGTATATCCGAGCTTCCAAAAATTGCAAGCGCAAATGCACGTGTAAATCCTTGCCTTAACCTTTTCGACCATGAAAGAAAAATAAATCTTGATTGTAATGCGGATTGAACTTCTCAGCTTGGGGGGCATTGAGCATCGCATGTGAACTTATACATTAGCCAAGCTCGACTCATTCCGACATCCCACTGCATGTTTCTCCCTCGAATCAACCCTCAGCATCTACAAACTCGTCGACACTGTGAGTATCTGTATCCTGTCGATACAGGGTGGAGGTGGCCGTCCCCTGGGTGTCAGTAGCTGCTGGTAAGTCTTTTCTTAGATCATCATGGAAGTCGATTAAAGAGCTCTGGTTCTGACCCTGGACCGTACTAGTGGACTGGAGGGTTCGCTCAAGATCCTTTTGTTGATGTCCATTATTTTGTGTCTGAGCGGCAAGGAGATCAGCTGGTACATGCTGAGATTGGACTGGCGCTGGTGATTCTCTTCCCAAATCAATGAGATTCTCCTTGTCCTTCTCCTGGGAGGGTATTGAAACTGGAGCTGCCACTGGGATCGTGGGTGATAATGGAGTGGCCTGTTCTGTATGTTGGTGATGCTGTGGAGGAATACGGTTCTTTTCCGTGAATTTCTGACCTGGAAGGATTGGATAAACCGCGAGGATTTGTTCCGTCTGTTCTTGTGGACTAGCGCCATCACTGTTTTCCATGTTAGTAAAACATTTGACAAAGAAGCCTGGCTCAACTTACATGCTTGCATTCAAGATCCAATCTAGATCTTCTTCGCCCTCTTCGGACCCGCCGGGGCCACCTCGTACTGGTCGAAACAACCTGGGAGTCCATTCAACACCATCTTCTGCTCTCTTTGCAGCCTCATCTCTCTGCATATCTTCGATAAATGTCTTCTCATCTGTCGCGACTTCGTGGTTGCGTTCTTTGACCGCTTTTGCCGTCTTAAACCATAACTTTTGCGATTCTCTATCATCTTGTTCTTCTAAAGGTCTCACTAATGGAGGTGATGGTCTCGCTCTCGTAGCATCAAACAAAAGGTCTTTCTTACCCGTCTAAAAGAATGATCAGTAGCTTTCACGAGTCGCCCAGGAAGTAGGAAATCATACCTTAACGTTCTTGATAAACATTTCTCCATTCCACATACCCGAAAGCTCGTAGAGAATTTCCCCTGTCTTGTCATTCTTAATACTACCCCCAATAGCATTGTAAGTTCCTCCAAAATAGCCCTTCGTCTTGAACTCGATATCCGCGCTCAATCCGAGCTCCGGGCAGCGCACAAAACTATGGTCACCGAGCTCATATTTCATCTTACCGAAAAGAATACCTCGAGCGTACATGTTGGGCTGGGTCAGAATGCTAATAGCAAGTTAGTGTCTGGGAATTTCCCCGTATTCAAATTTCTGCAGCATGTAACCTACTATCGTTCTCCCTTAGGCCCAGTCCCTCTGTTCAAAAATCTCAAAATAGCAATACCTTCCATCATACTAGCCGCAGAATTGCCCAAAAATTTGCTTCGAGGTTTCAAACATCCATCGATCCGTATGTTGTGTTCTGGCGCCATATAGAAGTAGCTGGATTTCGGTGGATGATGAGAGGTTTGCTCGGAAATATAGTATCCCTTTGTATTATCTGGAAACTGCCAATAACAAGTATAAATTTCGCCGAGGATAGGATTGAGTGGTTTCTTAACCCCTCTACAATATCTCATTAGCACAGCCGCTCCTCTCAAATAGGCCGAGTCTGCCTTACGGAGGTTTGATGTGCCATCCACTCAAGTAAAACTTCACAACCGAAGTAAATCTTTGCAAGGGGTCCTCTACCTCTGCCATGGGAAGCAGAGTTTCCGGATGTGCCATGAAGCTATACACCATCAGCATGCCTGGCCCTCAAATCCGCATCCCTTCCGAAGCTCCGACATCTACGCACTTTGTGATTCTTTCCAGCATACTCCTGGGCTCGAGAATAAAGGTAGGCAAGACGACGCGGCTCAGATCCGCTCCCGGACGAAGCTGCGAGATGATGTGTGAGAGAACTGTATTCCATTCCATCATGTCAGCCGCTGCACCATTTCTCTCGTGTCAAATCTCATGGACTCCTACCATTTCCCTGATCTGGCTCAACGACCGTAGTCTCATCCTCGGCATCAGAAACCTTCGATTCGTCGACGGAAGACCGGTTGCCTAGAATTGCCATATTGTTATTAGTGATGCTATTCCAGATTGTCTCTTTCACTCCGAAGTAATAGCGTGTCGATAAAGCACATTCCAGCCCGAGAAGAAACATACTTGCACCAGACTGCCTCCGATGAACATGACCCAAGCTCACCATCCTTGCGATTTAAATAAATAGTAAAAATTACTGTAGAGCGTTCTTTCTTTCTAGATGTTGTGGAAATCAAGAGAAGATCTGCGTATCCACCACTTTCCAAATAAGGTGGATGTAATGGGAAGCTGGGTTGGGGGAAATGTGTGAACAAATGTAAAGGATTTCAAGGTATGTCGTTGGAAATGGTTTGGTCAAAAAGTGTGAGTAAAAACCTCAGGTGGACCATTAAAAAGTGTTCGTTAACGGCAGGAAGTACCGTACTGTGCTGAATAGAGGGGAGATCCGAGGAACCATGCAACGTCACAGGGCTTTCAATCTGGGTAACAATTTAAATTTAGTGTATGACTGGCAGTGGTCGGCGATGCGGTAAGTAGGCGTGACAGGTGAGTACTATTATGTTTATGTAAGAATAGTTAACTAACTTAACTATAAGTTATGTAAGAGGAGATATTTATATAAGTTATACTTATTACATCTCCTATCTACCTACCTATCAGGAAGTGAGCCGTGTGGCGGAACATGAGACACACAATCAAAAGTTACTCTTGCTACGCATTTAGAAAATATCTTTCGTCATCGGAATTTTCAAGAATTTCCAGATTCCGGCTCTTGTCCAAAATAACTTTACAAAGCTTCCTTCCCCCCCTTTGTGTATTATAACAGCAATACTAGGTATGTATTGGAAACCTTATTTACATCTAACTATAACTTATACTCCGTACCTACCGAAACGATTATTAAGTTGATATTACTAATCACTAATCTATACCATTTTATCGACCCAAGTTACCTGAATATATACTGAATACATGCATATCTCCTCCCTAGATACCGAGATATAATTTCTATCCCATTGCATTGCCCACCTACCTACCTACCTACTTACCTGCCTAGATACATACCTCCCTACCCAAAGATCATCCAGATACATACAGCCGCACAAAAGATAACTAACTAACTAACTAACTCAACATTCCATGAAATCATTTAGAAGAAGAAAAAGAAAAAGAAAAAGAAACACTAGCTGCGGGGTCAACAATGACGATGATTTTTAGTTCCTAAACACGCCAAGTTCCATCGCATCCCATCCCATCCCATCCCATCCCATGGCATCTCAACTCAACTCATCCAATCCATTTATACGCGTATTGAATACGCAAAACACTTGGGATACGAGTAAACCAATCAAGAGACTCGGCACCACACCACACACACTTATACTAAATCACACACTTTATCCATCAACAATTTTAAAAAAATCATATAAACAAAGAGGTATATATCAACTAGGGTACCTAGATATTCAAACATCAATCCATAATTCAATCTGCACATCCACACTACGCCACACCATATTCACATCTACATTTTACTAGGCCCGGGGGAAGGCATCCCCCAACAACTCTCCTCAACTAACTTCAAACCCCCTTCATTCATTCAAAGCATACTAGGTAGGTACCACAAAGTCAAAAAATATATATTAATTTATCCATATCCCACATCCCATATTCCTGTCCATATTCTATGGTTTCCCACATTCACGATCGAATTTGGATCCAATCCAATACCTAGATACCCATTCATGCCCCTTCTTCCCCCCCTTTTCCTTCCTTGTTCCTCAAGGTAGCCTCTCCCAACGCAAGAAATCAACCACCATCTTTCTACTATGGCTATTATTACAACGATCGTGAATGCCAGATATTATATAGACAGGATACATAAATTATATGCCTTTCTGATTCTCAAAGGTGTTCTTCTTTCCCTTCCCCCATTTCATTCCAATCAATCAGCTATTCCCTCCACCCAACCATGAAAATTTCATCGCTATCCACCTATCGCCATATTACTCCGATCCTTTTTACAATACATATAAGGCCGCATAACACCAAGAGACTTTTTCGACCAAGGAAATTCGTTCATGTGACGATCAAAAGCATATTAGTAATGTGAAAAATGTGAAACGTGTGCGGAAAGCCTTCAATCATCGAGGGTGGTCAATAGATGAGCCTGCGCTGATTCGTCCATCCACCAGTTCAGCAGAGCTACCGAGATATTGCGGATTGTTCTCCGGTGGGTTGATGGTGTGGATATGGTGCTGGGAAACATATCCTACGCTCGTCGGGCGATCATGACCATACCCCTCGGTAAAATTACCGAATGAGGTGTTTCGAGAATGTCCAAATCCCTCATGCGGTGCTATGCTGGATCTAGCAGAAATGTCGGAATGCCGCTTGTTGGAATTCGATCTCTCAAAAGGGAGTCGTGAAGTAAGTGAACTTTGAGGTGTGTGACGACTGATGCCTGGAATAGTTAAGTCCACACTTGTATTCTGTGATTTTCGACGGGAACTCTTTCGTGGAACTGTAGGTGTTCGAGCTGGGGGACTTAAAGGCATGTTTGGTATTGGGTCGCCGGCTCGTGAACCATGAGGTACTCTTGAGCTAGCTTTCGAAGGAAACCTACTGGGCAGTTCCATACCACCTTCAGGGATTTTTAGTCCTTGCAGCGAAGGGGGAATATCAGAAATCCTGGTCATTTCAAACTCATCCTCGTCGTCATGGTAGCTCTGTCCATCATCCGATCCTATAGGACTGACTAATTCGCCATCATCAGCATCTGCGCCGTCCACACACGACGGGCCAGCTCGTCCTGATAGACCGGCGGTGTCATGCCCATCATCAGAATCTGAATCAATTGGACCATGTCGAATCGCTCCTGTGGCTACTGGAATTCCTTCCGGTGGTGATTCATCACCAGGTGCGTTCCTTGCGTTGCTCAACCCTCCTGGCGGCATCCTAGAGCTTCTCACAACCTCAAATCCTTTACCCTTCTCCTTCGTCTTGCCTTTGAAGAAGCTCTTGAACCAGCCTGCAGCGGAGGCAGGAATTCCCGTAGGATCTGCAGGACCAGTTTTGATTCTCCGACTAGGTGCTTCAGCGTTCAAAGCAGGCCCACGAACGCCGTAGTAGAAGTCGACCTCTCTTGTAGTGTAGTCAGCCTTCGATCGGTTGAGCTCCAGTGGAGCTCCATCTAAAGCTTGGTGCTGAGATGGACTATTACGGCCAGAGATTGAAGGACCCTCCAAAGGCTCAATGGCATCAGGATCGGCAGGTGGTGATTCGTGCCTATTAGTCCAATCACCACTAGCCCACGACCCTCGACTTCTTACCCCCGGGGAATTAGTATCTACAGTCGGCCGGCGGAATCTAGGAGGCCGATAGTAAGGATCGGCTGTGTCGGTTGTATCCAAGCCTAATATAGCACCTTTATTGCGTCCCCGGCCGCTTGGCGCGGCAGCAGATGGCAGGAATGAGAATGTGCTTGCCTCTCCTGGTGTTGTTGGGGTATGAGAGCTCGGTGCACCGCTGCCGACATGATGTGTAGGCATTGCACCAAAAGCATCTACAGTCATATTATCGAGATTTGCACTTTGTCTATTGAGCAGGATCCCAGCGCTACCCGCAGACTGACTCCGAAGCCTGCCTCCCTCGACTAGATATGATTTTCTGTCTTGGTCAGAAAGCATAGCGGCGCTTGATAATTGACTTTGACGCGATGTGGCATCCCGACGGGGCAACCTTCTAGACAATTGTCGCATACCAAATACCTTAGAAAGACCACCTCTAGCTGCGCCACTCTCATTGCCTCCGGCACCCGCAAGCCTGGCAGCAACTTCAACAATCGTCTGCATTGCACTCAACATAAAGCCAAGAATAAGGACAATGGCATGCATCAGGAGAATCGCATAGCCAACCCAGCCCTTTGGCCCTTCAGTAATACCAAGTGAAGGAGCAAATGCTATCATTAACAAAATGGTTGAAAAGCGCACCGCGGCGAAGAATGTGTGGTAAGCATTCATTGATGTCGGCGAATGAAAAGGTCGAAACGCATGTAAGGTCAATATCGTGATGACTTCGCAAATCGCAAGAAGAACGAGCTGCGCAATGCCTGAAGGTTGAACAGCTCCAATTGAGATACCGCGGAGAAAGGTCAGGAGTACCGGTACGAGGGCGAAGGGGGCCGCATTGTCCGAATATGTGTTGTACAACGCTCCGTAGGTAAGCACCGTTGGAAGATCATCGAATAGGTAGGACTTTGGTCTTGCCGTTGCGATAAGATACAACAGGTATATGGCAAAAACGACGATTAGGATCAGCATAAGTAACGCCAGACCGGTCGTATAGGCTGGTGACCTAGAAGCCTCAACTAATTGAAACATGGAAAGGGCAACGATGGGAAGCAAGAAATAATTAAACACAATACGAATCACGTTTCCAACTGAAAATGGCACGTGTTTCTTCCTCAAATCCTCTTCTTGGGTGCCCATCAGCAGCCTCCACGCCCAACGCGTAGCGAAACCCAGCTGAATCAGTACAAGGACGACTCCAATAGTAGCCAAAAGCCAAACCGCCATACCGGCCCAGACATCATCAGATTCCCCCATTCCAATTAATTGCCGCATGCGATCAAGACCATAGGTTCCATTCACTACGTATATGCCGTCGACCAGACTGTCCTGATAAGTGTTGCTGACGAAGCTTTCATTGAACATCAATGATGACCATGCAACTTTACTGACGATTGGTTGATAAAAGCCAGGATAGTCAAGTGTTAAGCCTCCAGTAAGAGCAATAAATTGGATGTATTGTAAGCAATCGCCGAATCCAGGTGTGACTAAACGGAGCAGGTCTGCATCTCGACCATAATTTGTTGTCCATCGAAAGATGTCATTGGTGCCCCAAGGACTGTATATGCCTGCGAAAGCAGTTGCAAACGCGACGCAGAGAAGCACTATCAAAGGTACATACTTCACAGTGGCAGATAAACTGCTCCCAATGTCAGGTGTAATATCAGCTGATATGCAACCAATAGTAGTCGCAGCAGTGTCGCCATTCTTGATTACCATCGTTGCAGAGAACGAAGTGAAAGCATACGAGGAGTAGAAGTTGTTGTTGAACCCAAAAGAGGGAAAAGTGTATGGATCCCACCTTGCACGTATTAGCTAGAGCATTGTAAAACATCTGGGACCATAGCTTACCTTGATGCATTGAAGGTAGGACCAAGAGGACAGGTGCCGTTGACAAGCTGATTACAAAAATCTACAGCGGCACTGTAAGGCTGATAGGTTAGCACAGTGACTTTATTGAAAAGCGTTGTGAGCTTTAGAGATGCTGGATCGGGCTCGTCTGCGATCTTGCCATTATAAGTATCGGTCGAGTTGCTTTGCCAGTACGCTGTGTCGTTGGATCCAGGTAATTTGTCAGTTGTTGATGCCCCCGGACCAGATCCCTTTACATCACCCCATACTTGAACCGCAAGATTATGAGTAGATTCAGTAGTATTAAAGACCGCCCATAAGAAATACGGAACAATCTGTAATTGATAAGGTGTATTACCCTGATAACTCTCTTCCAAACAATTCTGAAACTCTATGAACACGGCGGAAGCAGGAGTAATCCAAAAAGTTGAGATCAATGTGACTAGAATCATCCAGACACCGGAAGAAGTTTTCGCAGAAGCTCTGGACCATGGACGACGGTATGCATGTGTTTGCTCTGGGACAGAAGCTCGGGGATATAGATATGATCGATTCGAATATTGTTCGCTTGTAGATCCCCCCTCCCTCACCATTTCCTGCTCCCAGCAGTCCGCAGACATTATCAATGTAGTATTCGGACGACTCGTTCGATCATGGTCAGCATAGGAATCCGGAATGACCTGAGCTTCGTATCTCGAATTTCCTGGCATTGGTAGTACGAGTGACCGTACCCAGCGACGCGACGAGTTCTAATGGAGCCTGAAGCATACGAGGTGGTGATTTGCTTGTCTAATTCAGAAAGCCATGATGATGTGGTCGCCGTCACAAATGAGTGAGAGTGCCTATTGGTAAACACTTTGCCCGAATTGTTTCTTGACCAGAAAATCACAATTCGCTGTATGATGATGATGATGCCTAGTTCCTTCTGAAACGCCTCTTACTGTATGTGTAGTCTGTCGGCAAGCGCTACCCAGACAGGTAGTTGAGAATTGAATGTTTGAAGAATCTGATAGATGAACCAAAACTGACAAGATAGATCAAGAAGCAGAAAATTCTCTGGGAAATTGGTGAAAGAAAAACGATACGGAGAGAATTGTTTTGGTTCGGTGGTGTGTATAGTGTAGAAGCTGGAGGGGATGGAGGAGTTTAGACGTGGATGAGATCTCTCGTAATTGCGGGTATTCACAAGCCACGAGAGCTAATAAGATGTGCTGGATATATATGGATAGGCTTTTTGATTTGATTTGATTTGATTTGATTTGATTTTGTTTATTTTCTTTCTGAGCAGCCTCTTTTCCTTCTTTCCAAAGGGGGGCAGGGGAGGGGGGTTTTTTTCCATGATTAGGTATTGTAAATTAAAATATGAATCATTATCTGATTGTTTAATCAATTATTTGTGCAAAATGTCTATTATTTGAAAACTAGGTCGGTCGTTACCCAGGTAATGTACGGAGTATGACCTAATAAGTGACTTATACTTGGTGAGTAGTTTAAGTAAGTGTCAAGCAGTAGTAGTAAGGGGTTATGTTATGAATGTGTTGCATTGGCCTAACTCCGTTATCACTACATGCGGTTTATCTTCAACTGTTGAGTTGCTAGATGAAGTAGCCTCATGGCTAATGCGTACCATTGATTTACCAAAAGGTGCGGCGTAGGCACCTACTAGGTAATTATATATTATACATCCTGTTTAAAGTTTTCATGGGTGGTGTGGCTGTGATCTGTCCCTTCATCTAAATGGTCGATCTTTTGAACCCCGTTCATTTGATTGGACTGTATGAAGGAGTTATTCTATAAATAACACGTCCACCATGGTATCACAAGGGGGGAGGGTTTGAATGCGGACCTTTTTGTGTGGGTATGGGATCATAATTTGGGTGGATCCCATCAATGAATTGACCCCCTCTTGGAAACATATCAAAAGACACAAATCTTACTTTATCTATTCAATAACTCACTCACCTGGGCACCCATTGATCTATTTCCTGAATACTGCTACATGTCGACGTTGTTGGGAGGGCAATTGTTCCATAGTCAGTCAGTCAGTCTACACATCAAAGTAAATACCATATAATTAATCATATTCGTACCTCCTTGGAACAAGTAATTGGTGGGATATTGAGATTGCACCCGCATATTGTAAGTCCAAGAGTTATCTTTTACTACACCAGACATATATATCAAGCCCTGACACTAATAATGAAGGGGGATAACAGTAAAATAGTGGAGGCAATGCATGGTCGTTCGCTTATGAAAATGGTTAGAAAAGTACTAGGTACCCATCTGTGGTTTCTAGACTAGAACTAACTCCAGGTCATACTGCACTAGATAACTCGAAATCCTCTGAAAGCTCCGAAAACGAAGACCGATACTCTTCACGTAAATCATCGACTTTGTGGCAATGATGCTGCTGCCAGCCAGAAAAAAAGAACTCCAGTACAATGATGGATATCTTACCGTAATGCTATCCGCTAATATTCAAATTCCAGTTTATGCGCCGTGCGCCTCGCAACCGTATATCATGTACTCTTTATTGCAAAACTTCTTTCATGTCCAAAAGACTTGCTCTCATCTCCTTACTGATCCCATGCGTGAAGCTACTTTTACAGGTGCTGGTAATGATTTACTAAATGTATCGCGTTCTGAAGAAAAAAAATTAGCAAAGGAAAACTTGATGAGTGAACAGCAAGGCGTGCTTTTGTTCCCGTTTGCTTGGACTGGGTAAAGTATGGTTTTACTACGAAGCTGAAACCCAAGATACTCGAGTTGGGCCTATGATAGAGTCAAAGGGAGAACAAAACATCGCACTTACCCGCTTCCGTATCAAATATTACTGTGATATCATCATGCTCGCCGGGATAGTCAGGCATCTGTAGAATGTTAGCCAATTAATACTTGTAGTGGTACAATAATGGTCCTGTTTTGAGATGGATACCTACATCTAGATTGACAAACCCACTATCCAATGTTGCGTGTCCCTCGACGCGAGGCTTTGGCATTGCAAATTTGGCGTCAACGATGCGCAGAGAGAACTTTCCACTCTTGTTTGAGCTCTCGAATGTATCAGTAGATTTCAAAGTGAAGCCCATGCAATCTCCGTGGCTGAAATTCTCAAAGAAAGCAAGCAGTTGCACAACTTTTTCTTTTTGAACCAATTGCAATCTAGTGATGGCAGCATCCCACTTTTTGTAGATAGGAACCACCATTCTTCGCCTCGAAATATTGAAGGATGCTGCCCTGCCATCAAAGACAACAACGAATCCTGTCAACGCTGTTTGGAAAAGATGAAGTTCTCTCAAGCTGGGGAACACGTAAGTCCGGGTTGTCTCGGCTCTCGCAATTGTTGCAAGAGCTTCAGCGAATTCTTTGGTGGACTGATTTGGTGCTTGTGCTTGCGTTGCCATTATGGTCATGTCGTGCTGGGGTTGCCTCAAAATCTTCAATTCATTTGGCGAGTGCAGATTAAGTCGTAGCTTCAATTCCCCAGGCCCAATATTAAATCGATCTGTGAGTGAACCTGTTTTGAAATCCATGATGACTCGTAAATGTTCAGAAAGAACAGTCTTAGAGTTCTGAATATCAAAGGCATCCTCGTTGATTACTCGAGCACTTTGCCATTCCAAACCTCCAAGACGTGGCGCCAGGCCTCCTGGCTCCTCGATAACAAATGATCGAATGGGAGTCTCACCATAGACAGTTTCTTCGCGTCCGATCACTCCGCCCGTAAGTAGAGCATGCAATCTAGCTCTTTGATCTCCGTCTTCAAATGTAAAGACCATTGAGGATCTGGGGTTTCCATCATCAATCTTTAACAAAAGTGCTGGGTAGCCGTTATCACCCCTTAAGAGACTGAACTGGATGGGTGTCATGGGTACGATATCTTGATCGATGCCTCGTAAATTTTTGGTCATTTTTCCCGTCATAACAGCGAGTCGAAATCCTCTGTGCTTCTTTCTGGGACCCGTAGCTGCTTTCTCTACGATACTCTTTTCGAACAATCTTACCTCGCATTTTGGCACGGCTTCTCCTGGGAACGACTGTGCTTGCTTTTCTTGACCAAAGCATTGAAAAGCCTTGATGGTCATTTGAAAGACAAGATCTTCATCATCCTGTCGAGCAAGACTTTGTCGGACACTGTTTTGAAAATCATAGGAACCTCTGAGACTCCTAAAATCCTGTGGGGTACAGTTGATCCGAAGCTCAAAGCCTCGCGGAAGTTTAATATTAAGCGAGCTGCTCTTTTGTATCCAGGACACATCATTCCACGTGGGCCCGCGAGTCTTGTCGTGCTGAATCACAAGCTTTAAAGTGCTAGTTTGGTTGGTTATTACGAAGCTTAAATCTTCTTCATGATTTGCTCGAACGATAGATAGAAGACAAGGGCAACGATAATGTGACGAGGCTGCTTCCTCTAGAAGGTAGACATCTACAAAGTGACGTCCGTATGTGAAACTTGTGCCCGAGTCACCCAATGGAAGAGCTCCAGATAAGGTCAATGTTGTATTGGGCCGCTGTAGTGCTAACAATGATCGGTCGCCTTCATCTCTCGTCCAAATCTGATTGTCGTTACCTTGGAGTAATGGCGCGTCTTCGCCAAACGGCGGGAGAATGTTGTTGCGTTTCATAGACTGAACTTGATCAGTAAAATTTGTCTATCAATATTCATTGATGCTTACCATTGTCAATTTTTTCAAGCCAGATATGATTGCTTGTCGTGATTCCAGAGCGTCGTTAATAGTGGGATCGTTCATTTGATTGTTCATCTCGGGGCATTGGGGAGCGATCTTTTCCATTAGCCAATATGCCTTGGCTAAATTTGAGTAAGCCTGTTGACGACCAACTGTATTGTTCTGTCTTGCTTCTGGGGTTGTAGATCGGTCTCTGATGCTACTTTCCAGCTCGGATCGGCCTTTGAGAAACCACCACAACGCACCTCTGACAAGCTCTTCTAATGAACATGACGAGAGTGGTTTTAGCGACTCGGCTGAAAGTCTGAATAAGGTAAACATATGCGACGTGCGTCTGGAAAATTCATTTAGGGCATCATCCCCTACAGCCAATGCAGCATCTTTCAGATTGAATGTTGGGGCCCGTGTAGTTGGAGGGGGACTTTCGACCGCACTAGCGGAGTTTGTTGTGGAGGTCCTTGAAAACGATGAAGGACTCTCGTCAGTGACAGGAGGATTTGACCTCCCACTATCACTAGGCGTCTCGGGTCTCCCAAACTGACTCAATCCTGGCGAAGAGCTTAATTGTGTATTCTTCACAGTATGTAGGTGAGCAGCTTCTCGTGAGGGAGATTTCTCATTTGCTGTCAAAGCTGCCAGTGCGAGATCTCGTTCATCAAAATGTCCCGACACCGCCCTTACCAATGCTTTGCCCTCTGATGCACGCATCGCCGCTTCTGCCTTGCCATTGAACGAGCTACGCGATCCGGTCCTTGCGTTACCATTGCAATTTTCCTCATCTCTTTGGTTTCTGTTGGGCTGGGGAGATTCACAGTCGGACGCAGAGTCATTGTCTGCGATTGTTGAAAAGCCTGTTTGCGTGCGTCGTAAAGGACCGGGTCTGAACATGTCGGGGTCCCCAAATTTATCGGCAGGTCCCTGTGATGAGCCATAGGGTGGGGGAGGACCTGGTCGTCGGGTTTGTTTTTGCTGCGGAATTGTTGCAGCTCGACTTCGCAGGGCTTCTGCGATTTCTGCTGTTGGTGAGGCACATTCGTCGCCTCCTTCACCTATGACTTCCGGTTGGGCCTCCGTAAACCTCACGACCAATCCTTTCCTACTCCGTTTTGGGCTCGCAGATCGATTGCGCCTAGCATTATTTACTTCAGCCGCCGTGGGCCATCGTTTTGCAGTAGATGTATCAATTCGACCAAGAACAGGAGGTCTAGGAGGGGTATTCGAGGCTGCGGTGGATGATGCAGTGTACAGTTTATCAGTAGGACCATGAAGAAAATCGGATACTTCTTCTGCCGAGGATGGTTTCTTTTCCTTTCCAAACAATTTTCCCATCAATCGACCCTTGAGTTGCTTGTGTTCAAGGTCTTTTCTACTATCGGTTGCGTCCATCTTCCCATTGACAATGATCTACTGAACTGTTTGTTGGAAGTTGAAATCAACCACACGACCAGGAACTATGAAGCGACAAATTTGATGTTAAGAGGAATGAATCAATGAACATTAATAAGTTGATCAATTGTGAATTGAAGATGAAGATTTAATTGCAATTGCGATTGCAATGGGATTGAAAGAGAGTATTCACTTGCGCGTCCGAGACTTCAGGGTTGTTTATC